CCCCCCCGGCTCGATGATTGTGTGTCGATCCGAACTCGAACTCGAACTCGAACCGGTCCACCCCCCCCCGGCTCGATAATTGTGTGTCAATCCGAACTTGATCTCGAACTCGAACTCGAACTGGTCCACCCCCCTCTCGCTCGATCCACGCAATCTCGCGCATCGAACTCGAACTTGAACTCGAACTCGAACGGGATCAGTTAGAACTACCTGGGGCACGGCCTGTCGTTTAGCAAGTTGTTGGCTGGGGGATTGTAATGACCTACCCTGTGAATATTTCCCGCGTTGACCCCCCGCAGGTTCAACTATCCCCTGTGACGTGCCAATTTCCTGTGTTCACACCTCTGAATCAATCAACTTCTTTCATTGTGTCATCTTCATGGATACCAGCTTTGCCTAGAATATCATCCATAGGTTCGAATGAATCAGACGGTGGCGAGCAGCACATGCACATGGTTTCGCAGTGCTGTAAAAAGCCTCACCCTCCTTGGATTGTTCAACCCATGCTGGATTTCGTGACCAATCCCCGGCCTCAAGTGTGTCTTAATATGTTGTATAAAAATCAATTGATGTCGATAGGTCCTATCAACATCAATAGCAGTGAAAAACAACCACATTGACATTACGCCACTGTATGGCGTATTACGCCACTGTATGGCGTGTGCTGTTCGAAACCGCCATGCTACATGCACGGGTGCATCTCAACTGATTGTCGCGTGGTTTCTGCCCGCAGCATGCACCAAGTGGATGCGCCCACGCGCGGCAATTTGGCAATTTGTCATTTGGAAAATCATACTTTTTGGATCTTTTTGGTTTCTTCTTGTAGCTTCCAACTTACAACCATAGTGCTTCAGACCAGTCATTCAAGTTTGCTTCAGCTAGCTAATATGCTTTTAATTGCATTTGGATGTGCTGTCACGCCCTGTCAAGGCACGCCGTGAGGCTGAGGCTCGCCAGCAGGAGGCTGGAATTACAAGCCGCGTTGAACGTTTTTGGCTCGAGCTTTTAAACCAACTTCAAAAACCTTAAATGTGAGACCCTTTGTTTGGCTCTTCAAGCGCTCCATCTTTGCTTTGGTCCGTTTGTGTTAAGGCCTGTGACATGTTTTGACCTCGAGACATGCCACCGCATGTGTTAATTTTGGGTCGAGGCTGCTGCAAACAACGTGAGGAAAGTCTTGAAGAAGCTACGTTGTGGCCTGAGAAGGGAGTGAAGATCTTGAGTTTCCAGACCGAAACAAACAAAGGCTTCCGGCTGTCGCTCCAAAACCCGCAAAGAAACATGATTCAGATTGAACACAATGAGCACAGGCTTTGGAAAGAGTTTATAGTTTTCCTTGCCAAGGTACTGCAACTCCTGACAACCTGAAAGAGTTGCAGGACATTCGATTCAATCCGCTGCACAGAAGAGAGTTGATCTACATGTTGTGAGATTTGTGAGTACGGATTCAATCTGCTGATCCTCAGACTGAAGATTTTTTCTACATGTGTCTACCAATGCAAGACATGTTTGGATGTTCGAGCCTCTCATAGGCGGAGCTGGATCGAGCGGCTTCCTCAAATTTTCAGGCCCGGGATAGAGGAGTTGTTCATTTGATCAGCTCTCAGTCTCAAGAACTATCCATCGCTCATCAAACATCTCTTTTGGCGAATGCTTGTAGATTGTAGGCCATGGGCCACTTGCGTGACAGTGTGAATGATGAGATGCAGAACACCTTGACGCAGGCTCAAAGCTTGTAGCGCCAAGAGAGCATGCTGAGAGATGAGACATAACGCATCATAGATCATCATTTGCGCCATTCGAAAAACCTTCCTGTTCATATTATTCACTCAGTGCGTTGTCATATCGAAGTTGCGCGAAAGCAACACCTGCACGCGCGTAAGGTTGCATAAGTTTTTTCAAACGAAACCTTTTGCGTAAGCCATGCGTAAGCTCTGAAGAAATACATGAGCACCCCTCTCAGAAGTGCAAGGATCAAGGAACAGTCCAACTCCACACACATACATAATCCAAACTCGAATTGCTGAACACACACAGTCCAAACACCACAGCTGAACAGTCAAACCTCCATGTCAGACATGAGAAACTCCAGGTGATTTTTGTGAGTTCCGGCGCGTAAGCTGCACGTCAGCTCCGTCCGTGTAAGCTCCGCGTAAGCTCCGGTGTCCTTTTCCACCAGTAGCCCACATGCTTCCTTCTCCGAAACCGTTGCATCAGCGGCAGCGTGTGGTTGCGCGCATCGCCCTTCCACTTCAACTTCGCCACTTCCTGCTGCTGCTGCTGCTGGGTTGCTTCTGCCTTCGAGTCTTCTTCTTTGTCCTCATCCTCAAGTGCTTCTTCAGTATCCATATCGGAAGATTAGGTGTAGTAGATGTCCATTGTACAAAGTATGCAGCGCGTAAGCTCGCCTTGTGGTGCCAGCTGCATTTTGTACAAAACAGGCGTCGCGTACGGTCTGCGTAAGCCCTTCTTGCTCCAAGTGCACCGCGTAAGCAAAGATGTGAGTCGCGTAAGGCAGCGTAAGCACAGGCGTAAGCACTGATACGACATGGGATGTCATCAAGGTTTTGAGAACCGCTCATTTGAGACCTTGGTGCGACTTGACCTAAGGTTTACTGAACTAATATTGATATTGCCAACCTTTGAAGTTCTTCCCATCAAGTTTATGTTTCTTTCTGCTTATTGCTGCTTGCTTTGGCTTTGCCATCTCTGAAAAGTGCTCTTCTGGGCCCTGAGCCCTTGAAACTTCAGAGAAGTCCCAATCCGATTCGTTCGGAGTGAGTCAGTAGAATTTGTGCCGTGCTGGGCCGTGGGGTGTGCGGAACCTGAGGGTGTGAAATGCTGCCGCGAAAGCGAATGCTAACTGTTTGAAACCCGAAGTCCGATTGGTCAGGGTGCAATTGTCGCAACGATCTAAAGTCTATGGATCCCAATTGATTCATACAGCAAGGGTTCTTTTGTCAGATCAGTATCTGGAAGAAAAAAGACGAAAGAGCCATTTCAGTGAAAGTTCCATGGTGTGTGGAAACCACGTGTCAATGTGCCCTGTGGTTTGAGGTGCAGAAGCGTATCGCAGAAGAGCTGAAGCAGCGGGAGGCACCTCCTGGTGGGGAAGCCGACTTGGCCGTTCAACTGTTTGCTAAGTGATTAAATGCCGAAGCAGGATTGCACGTGTTTTCTATTACAGTAATATAAGAGCATCTCTAAATACTTTGGTGTTGAACGGTGGTGGAATTCTCGTAGAATGCGACAGGAAGCGCAGCGGCGACGGCAGCTAGAGCTGGCAAGCCCGGTGCCAAGCTTGAGATCGAGTGGCCAGGTGCTGATTAAATCATGGCTGCTTACGCCTTACGCATCTTCGCTGTCTTTGCACAGCAGAGTCGACCAAGTCATCCCGAAACTGATTGGCCAGGTCCTTTGTTTAGAGAAATCGAGCCCTCATTTTTGCTCTGTAGACACCAAGCGGGAAGATCGCTCCAGGGAAGAAACTAGGGGTAGGAAGGTCTTGTGCGATGCCACGCGGACACGCCGCATACACATACACGCAGCACGCACGCGCATGAGACTTGATCATGTCAATGTAACTTTGACGGAAGCCTGAAGCAAATCCAAAGATGCATTGACTATGAGTATGACTCAACGAACACACTATTGCGGGTGCCCAAATCTACATAAATCTACAGTAGCCATTCCTTGTTTTCTCACATGTTAAGATGATAGTTAATTTTTTCATAGCATAATTTCTCACAGTTTCTCTACGATATCTAATTGGCATCTCACGTGTCTCACACGTTCACGTCAAGTGAATCAGCTGTGTTCTTCAAGGGGTGGAGAATTTGGTGAAAGAAGCTGCAGTGGAAGTCGATTCGGCAGAGGTGTGCGGCCGAGCAAGCGTAAAGAGAGAGAGAGAGAGGGAGACAGAAAAGACGGGAGACTCAGCAGAGCAAGGTGAAAAGCGAATGAAACATAACTATGGCGGGCTGTAAACTGTGGAGCCGTGAGTTGAACTAAGAAATGCTGCAACAAACATCAAACACTTCACATGTTGATCCATGTGCACATTGGCGTCAAGCAGTCCAGATTCGGTCGTCTGGGGCCATCCGAGCAGCGGGCAGTGACCGGTCGCAAGGCGCGGGTGGCGGAGGCGTCCGCCAGCACCACAGCAGTGACAGCTGGTGGCAGTGCTTCACCTGCTGAAGTCCTGGAGGCAATCGCTGAACCAACGAAGTTAAAAACAAAAAGGACAAACGAAGCGATTTCAAGCAAGCAGGCGAAAATGACCCACAAAGCGAAATGTTTTGTGGCGTTTTGACAATGTCGGATGTGTGAAAAGGTGTGCACTGAAAAACTTCAAAGCCATTAAAATCCGCTCTGGCCAGACTGTTGCCGTGGCCATCAAGGATCTGGATGAAGCAAAAGGTTCCCTGGATAGGCAAGCGACAGAGCAGTCAGCTTGAAGCTGAAGACAAGTTTGAACCATACGTGTTTGACGTCGACCATCCGTGTTTAACGTCGACGAAGCGAGCACCCTGCAGCATGTCATAGACATTTAAAAAAGACTGCTCATGCTTGGATGATTCCACACATGGGAGATTTGATACCCTTTGGGTTGTGTTGAGATTCCAGTGCAGGTCAGAGAAAGTTCTTATTGCAAAGAAAGAGCAGATGGGTGCTGGTGAAGGTGCTCGACATGTGAAAAAGGAGGCGCCAGCATGCTCTTTTGGTCTGAGTGAGTGCTTGCAAATCCTGCAACGGAAGTTTTGGCATTTTGCATTGGACGAAAGCGTGCCTGTAGGTGGATGAGCTAGCGAAGCGGATTCAAACATTCAAAGACACAGTAAGCAAGCCTGGATGCCCAGAGACCATACAAAGCTTATTACTTTAGTCTTATTATATTGTTACAAAATGTTACAAATACTTTTGAGGACCAATGGACAGCAAATCCTTGTGGAAACTCAGTGGTGTGTTTCTTGTGCGTGTGGAAAATCACGTTTTGTGGGGGAATTGCTCCCATGCCAAGAAGCCAAGGCACACAAAGACTCTTGAAGATGCTCGAAGCGCGAAGAGAATTCAGACGTACACAAAGACACCTCAAGCAGAAGTCGAAGAACCTGTAGAACAGCTTTCGCTAAAAAATGGTTGAAATGGAAGGACTTTCGTTCAAGTGGTGGCTGTAACAAAAAGGAAAGAAGTGTTGCTACAAGACCAATAAGAAAGAAGCATAATAGCCTCCAACCTAATGGCGATGGCCTCCAACCTAGTTGAGCTAAGCAGAAGAAGAGACAAAACAGACAAAGAAGGACGCTACTAGGGGCTCCTGGCATTGCTACTAGGAACAAGAAGCTACCAGGGGCTCCTGGCCATACTAGGAGTAAAGGACGCTACTAGGAGCAAAGAAGACACCAGACAGACCTTGAGAGGCCGTGGTTTGCGCAGAGCAGCCGCAGAGAAGCAGGAGCAGGTGGAACCAGTGCTGTTTCAGAGGAAAGCTCTCATGTATAATTTGTTCAGCCTAGGACACCGGACAATTCAAGCTACTTCAAGGAAGCTCCCCTCACATGAGGGTGGGGAGCTTCCTTGAAGAAGCGCTCGCACTAATGATTTATTTGGTTCCTTTGTGGGGAACTTCACTTTTCAGTACACGTTGCCTTGCATTGGGAAGTGCTGATTTGTTGAGCAGGCATGGAAGAACAGCTTCTCAAGGTGCCGGGCTGTGCTGCTTAGCTTGTTGCTTTTGCCAAGCTCACTCTGAAAAAACAAAGGAAGAAGAGCAGACCGAATGACTGGTCCTGCTGCTGTTGCTGATAATGAGTCTGCATGGGTGACACTCTAATTTTATATCTTGGTCAGGGTCGCTCTGACTGAAGGTGACTTGCTGGTGTTTACCCAATATTTATTTCTTCACTTGAGCAAGGTTATTTTGGTGTCTCGTGCTCTTTTGCCTCCACCACCACAGATCCACAGCACACTGCAGACCGACCGGACAGTGCTGCAAGCAACACTCAAGTGCGTTTGGCTGTGCTCAGGCACGATGCCGACGGCGACGGTTGCCTGAACCGTGGCGAGGTGAGGAAAGTTATCAAGTAGGGGTGTATTGACTGATGTGCATTGTGATAACGGTGAAGGGTTTTGATATGTTTCGATCAATCAAACAGACCCCGGACCAACTTGTTCAACCGAACATGTCCTTACACATCCGTACGGACTCTTGCTTCAGCTTTGGAGTGATTTGCCAGGTGGAGGCATTTGGAAAGCATGAGTTTGAAATTGCACTGCCAGGGCCACATGGTTGATGCAACATCAAACAGCACAACACACATTTCTTGAACATTTTGGCTGACCAAGAAGTTCCTCTGAAGGTCAGAAGACCTTTTAGACCAAATCATGAGAGTGTGCCTTGGCAGAGCACGTCCGTGGTTGATTTTGGGAAGATGATTCCGCGTGTCTCAGCTTTTTTTCGCTTGCTTACCATGTTTCAAGTTTGTGTCATCCACTGTTTGTTGTTTGCCAGACAATATGCCAAGAGACTCTATGTGTGCCGACGCGCCCAGCTTGCAGCCCATCACTTTCGAGAAGTTTTTGCCACTGCGACAAAAGGCACGTGAAAGAATGCAAAACACTAGAATCATCTCATAATATTCCCCATTCGAATCCACAAATCACAAAGTCCGAAGTTGTCAAGGGGGTCTTTTTTTTGAGGGAAAGGGTCTTTTGTATTGTACAATGTCCGAATCGTAGTCCGCAGGTTGGAATTGCTAAGTTTGAAGCAGAGGCTCGCTTAAGGTGCGGGTGAAAGGGCGGACACCTGATGGACATATAAAGCAATTCGACCACACTGAAAGTGGCGACTGGATTGCCTTTTGACGCAGTTTGCCACCTGTAGCTGTGCCAGGCGAGAGAAGGTAGCTCAGCAACAGGCCAGCTTGTGTGAAGATTTGGGACGAGAATGAACAAAATGAAGTACAAAATGAGATTGGAGAGAAGGCAAGAATGAACATAATGAACCAGACGTGGTCTATACCAAGTCTATATAATGTGTATATATGATACAGTGGACATTTTGTGTCGCTTCTGGACAGGAAGAGGGGATGGGCGAAACTGCCAACGGCGATGATGGTGACGTCGAGCTCGTTTCGGAGAAGGTGCGTTTTGCATGTTTGTGTGTGTGCGCGCGTGCCGAGGGGTTCTATTTTTATTTCTGGGGGTCCGGGGCGTAAAGCCTTTTTTTTTGCGCAACGTTACCTTCATGTTCACAGCCCACAGCCGTCCGCGGCCATTTGCATATCGATAAGCCCGATAAGGCCCCCGCCTCCCGTGGCCCGTTGGGGAAGCTTTTGGAGGAGCGTGTGAAATAGCATCGAAACCCAACATTGCCTCAGCGTGAAGGATGATTTTGCTGCGCAGATGCAATATTTCGTGGGTCAGCGATTTGCGTCGCTGTACCATCGAAATTTTCCCCTGAAGCGCTTGAATCGACGCTGCGCTTTCGTGACATTCAAGTCTAAATGTGTAAGAACGCGGCGTGAGTATGGTCAGAAAGTGCCGAAATTGTTCAAAGGTGTGGCATGGTCACTTTCAACGGAAGGCGCGGTACTCTGTGCATGTTGGAGGTGCTGGGATGCAGGCAGGGAACCGTCAGGCTGTGACGATCGGCACACATGTGATTCGCTGTTTTATTGCGGCGCGGCAGCGGCCGCTCTTGCGAGGGACTTCGATTGCAAAACTGCTGTGCAGGGCCACTCCCGAGACTTCACTCTTCACTTTTGGAGGAAGTCTTGTACAGAACTACGAAATGTTTGCGTTGAATCCTTGACGTCGCATCACTTTTGGAGTATGTCTCCTACGAATTGCTCAACTTGAAGGCTAAGCTCGACGTGTCACTGTTGAAGAACCACTTGGATCCACTTGGTTTGAAGACTTGATGTGTCACTTTTGGGAGTCGTGCGGCATGTTCGTTTTGAAGGCTCGGCTTGACCCCTCGCTTGTGAACTTGAAGCGCCCCACATCAGAGCCCTGTGCCAAAAAGAGTTTCCCACATGAGTGCCCTGCAAGAGTGTCCCACAAGAGTGTCGCGCAAGAGTGCAAGAGTGCGTAACAAAAGTGTTTCACATTGTTTCACAAGAGTGCCCTGCAAAAAAAAGCACAAGGTTTCTGAGAAACGATGGGTGGTTGGTCGTGGGCCGTGCTCTTGACCAATCAGAGCATTCTGCACCGTTAGGCATTGTTGCCTATGTTGTTTTAGGGTGGATACATCTAGCCACTTTGGCAAGAAGAGCGATACGCCACTGCAGGCAAGAAGGGCTACAAGAAGGCCCCAAAAGAGTGCCCCACAAGTCTCAGGGATTTGGGGGCCTTGCTTCTCCGTATACGTGTGCGATCGTGTACGCATTCGGGTTCGTGGGCTGCAGTTTGTTTTCACGTTGTGCTGGCGCTCTTTTTTATGGAACATCTTTACGATGATCACTCGACAAACTGACATAAACGGATTGCTTGGTTGAAAGTTTGTGTCAAAGCTTGAAACCTGTTAGGTGGAGAAAGTCCATGACATCGAGGTGGAGGATGGAACCAATGACGAGGCACTCAGGTTCTTGGTGAGTGTTTTACTTGGAACTCTAGTTAGTGTGAACCCTGAATTTGTCACGGCAACCGTTTCGAATGCACCTGGTTTCAAGGTTTTCAAATGGTGCAGTCAGTGAGAGTTGCACTTGCCATTGGTTTGCTTGAGGCCGAGGACTTGGACAAAAAAGAGTACATACTAGACAAGGACATGCCAGAGGCATGCTCATGTTCATGTTTTTGCCGCTTGGGCTGCCTGCAATTCTTGAGAGGTTGAGGAAAAAATGGAGGAGGATAAAGACGACGAGGAATCGAGTCAACCACACATTTGTGCAAGACTGGTATCGTTTGCGAAGCTGTTCATTCAATGTGGCAGTGTGGCGTCGTTTGCCAAGCGGTGTCCGATTTGTTCCCCCATTGTGTGTTGCGACTGGTTTCTTCTGCGTTGCGTTTGACGTTTGCAACATTTTACAACGATTTGGTTATATTATAAGTGTAGTTATTTTGTGTTGTTTCTGTTTATTTATTAATTTTTCTGATGTTGTTTGAGTTTCGATTCGGAGTTCCAGCGAAGAAAAAGGGCTTGTTTGATTCAGCTCAATCAGCATCCATGATCCTGAAATTGCATTCTGGCTCCTTCTACTGGCAGCTATTGTGATTGGTGCAGGAGAGCGCGTTGTGACGAAATTAGAGGGAGAAAGGGCCTTTAGAGATCTTTAGAGTGTGGTTTCTCAATCGATGCTCTTTCTCTTTCTTTGTGATTCCAGATGACCAACGAAGCTGAGTCTTTTGGCCTGCGACACCACCCCAGTGGCCGGAACTGCTCTTTTTGGAGTGGCTGCTCGTCCCTGTTTGCCCCTGTTTGTTTTGAGTTGTACTTTGAGCCAATCTTTGCCCAGTGGACACAGCAGTAAAGACTCAACAGCCAACGGCGTGGTTGAAAGATAATGGCTTTGATGACCTTGTGACTTGTGACTGTTGCATACTTTGCAGTTGAATTGTGCACGAGTCTTTGAACTGCCAAGGTGCACAAGACCGCGCCCTTAATCCACCTTAACCCCATGAAAGATTTGTCCTTTCTTTGCATACACGCTTCCCCACTAAAAGTGATGGTGGCAGCAGTTGACGCAAGATGAGGAGGGTCTTATCAAATGGCCACCGATTAAAATACTGTCGTGTAGAGCCCTGTAGAGCTAAGAAGCACAAGTGCGAACGATGTGCTGAGCCACCACAGTGGCCGCCCATGTATTTCCTCAGGAAATGGGTTTCAATTTGTTCAGAGGAGCCATTTGATGGATGGTTTCTTTCATGTGCTCATTTGTGACCAGAAAGTTGGAGTTGTTCCGGGCTTGTGGTCTTTTGCTGAGGAATTAATATCAGCAGACCTACTGTACCTTATGTGTGCGTAGAGGAACAGAGCGGCATACTCAAAGCCCCCCAAGCCCCAGTTGTTCTCAAAGGCCAAACAGCCAATGATCACACACGAGTTCACCAGCGTCCAATATCAACCAGAGGCGATGTCAATGTATGCACAGCATTGCTTGGAGCATCGACTTGTTTATGCACAGTACGTATCTCCCGAAGTAACCTTCTGAATACAGTGCGACTGCTCGCTTGCAATTAGAAGTGTAGTCGGAGTTCAGGGTATTGTTTGAACATGAACAGGTTTTGTTTTGTTGCATGTGGACGTACTGTATATATTTGTCACATGCTTGTCAGCGCGCATGTACTATAGGTGGCACGAGGTGTTCCTCTCGTAGGCAGAATGCAAAAGAGCTTCCATGAAACATGCCATGGCTTTGATGCGCTTGCACAAGCGGGTCATCAACAAATCACCGGCTTGTTGAGCTGTTGCATTTTCCTTGTCACATTCCCTTGAATTTTGTCGAGAAAGTGTGGCATGCAAACATAATATCGAACAATCGTACGTTGCTCGCGGAGCTCGAGCTTCCTTCAGCGCATTGTTTTCAGCATATTATCACGGGAGACTTGTCTACTTTCATCCATTGCAAACATTTTTTTGCATGCCACTTGCGAATTTAAGTTTCAATCCACACTCCCCGATGTCAACATGCACCAACCAACACGCGGCATGGCACGGTTTGAAGCAGTGGGTGGAGGAGCACTAGAAAGGGCAAGCAGCAAGCACTGACGAACAAAACGGTTCTGTGACATATACAATCATATAGTGCGACCAACCAACGAAACCACCAAAAATGAACCGTTGCTTAGAGCACAATCAACTCAACACAGACAGCCACAGAAACAGGGAGCATCCTGCTTGCTAATCACGGTGGCAGCCCAGCAGTACAAGTACGCCTTGGAAGCAGGATTCGGATAGGGGAAGTGTGCATGTTTGCGAGGATTGCACACATCCTCAGTCCACTGCTATTTGCAATTCACTCAATTGCGCTCCCCTCACCTTTAATATCGTTAATGCGGGCTGGGAAGCTGCAGGCAGAGGGAAAGGAGAGGGAAACAGATGAGGCACAGGCTCAAGTTGCCGTGTTTGTTGACAGAGGTATAGTGTCTTTGTTGCTTGCATACTGTGCCATTTTGGTGTCCTTGTTGTCCGCCTTCATCAATGTTTCGCTATATGGCCTCCGCAAATGTTCAGCAAAAGGTCCTTCAGGCAACAAGTTCAGGAGACATGGACCGACCAAAAGCTGAAGAGACGAAGAGAGAACTTATATATTTTCACTCTGTTTCCGACTGTCCGCCTGACTTGCTTGAGGCCGACGACATGGACCAGAAAGATAACATTCCAGAAGAGAAGGAGGAGAAAGAGGCTAATAATGTTAATATATCGTATATTGACAAGTTGTTCTCTGCGTTAAGGCTCCATGTTAGTGCCTCGGAGGCGGAGGAGAGAATGGATGATGATAAAGCCACCGAGGAACTGGGACAACGATATGCTTTGAAGATCTTTCGAGTCAAAGAGGCTGCAGACCTCAAAGTAAGTACAAGGTTTCCAATCACGAAAGGTCACTTTAAGCTACTTTCTGTTTCAGCAAGCACATAGGGGAGTTTCAAGGAGTTGATTTCAGCCCCTTTCTATCCAATCGAGTTTGATAGAACCTCAATGTGGGAGCCGTCGGGGGCAAGAACACATGAGGTATACTGTAAGTGGAACTGGACTGGACATTACATGCGATGTTTTTGACATGGTTCAATGGATCGCAAAGGCTTCCGTGCAAAACAGTCTTCGGAACATAAAACAAAGCGTGTTGTAGGTGTCTCCAGGCTCACATTAATGCTGCATATACCAACTGAGCAAGCTCCGAGCTGTTAAAATTCATTAAAATTCTTCCGGTGCCAACCAATCCTCAACACCTGCAGTTTCCCTTCATTAACCTTTCCAGGATAGCTTTTTTGATGCTTTGCTTGTCAATGCTTGCTTTTGTGCTTTGGGTTGAGGCAGAAGGAAAGGAGGAGGAAAAGACGGGCGAGGCATGGGCCAATGCAGTCAGTCTTCACTGCTTGAGCGGTTTTGCAATCCTTGTGTGGCATCCTTGAAAGCGTCCAGTCCTTTCCTTCGGCCTGTATTTTGCTTGGTTCATTTGGCCGATGGAGATGGGGATTGCAGAAAGACAGAATATTCAGTTCACATTATGTTGTTTTGTTGGTTCTCTTGTTCAGGTCGAGGAAATTGACAGAAAAGAAAGCCTTCCCGAAAATGAGGAGGCTCATGTTGCCTGCCTTTTTTTGCTCTGGCAATGTATATGATTGAGATTTGAGGTCGATGAGGGAGCGGGTGATGACAAAGAGAACGAGGAACGGAACCAACAATGTGTGAACGGAAGCAACAATGCGTTAACGAAATGCTGCGACCAGAGGAGTTCATTTGTTTGCGATGCTTTCGAATTGCGGCGACGCGCAAAAAAAGAAGATACCTTTAACAAACCACTATCCCACCAAAACTGAATGCTACAAAAGGGATTTCTGACCACTTGTCCTTGGGATTCAGAGCGAATTGGCAGTGCGCAGGCAGAAGGAAAGGAGGAAAGGCAAATGGATGAGGCGCAGGTTCAAGCATTCATGCTGCTGACTGTGTTTTTTGGATTTTTTTGGTGCTGTTGTTGCATCTTTAAGAACAGTTTCCTTTCCTCCTTGAGATTGATTGTGTCTCACTCACTTGACTTGACCGGATTTGATTTATCACTAGTGCAAGAAACAAAAGCGAACAGTGAACTTCATGATATGGGAGATTGAGGAGAACCACAACAAGTCATTGATTGAGTTGGCACTTCCTTGAGGCCGATGGAATGGACGAAAAAATGGACGTTCCAGAGGACAAAGAGGCGTGCGTGTTTCATCGTTCAGGCTTTTGTTGCTGATGTGATGATTAGTGCCCAATCATTGTGACTAGCAATAATGAAATGAGCATTGCAAGTTTGTTTTTGAGTCACTGCCGAATAACTGTTCATTCATTCGTGTCCATTGAGTTGTTTTGAAAGTTCTCCTGTGGCCTTAGTAGCTTGGCCTCGACCAGCCAATGTCAGGGGGAGTGAGATGTTTGCTCATGCGAGACACATGAGAGCCAATCCGCAAGAGAAAAGAGCGAAATGAAAGGATGCAAGAGTTTAGGGATAGACTGATAGACTGTCTATGACTTGAAAAAGTTGGGATGAAAGCTCATACTGGGATGTCACCCACAGGCTTCACAGTCAACAAGCAAAAAGTTGCAAAAGTTTCAATAATTGGCATTGGTTGGTTGCTTCCAGCTCGGGGCTTGCAACTTCTACGTATCCCGTATCCCCAAGAGCATTGGGGAAGGTTCTGTCATGTCTTGTCCATGCCGATCGAAACAAACACGAATGCATTGGGAAGCTGTGGCCGTGTGTATCCAACATGCCTACAGACGCAAATACAGTATGTTTGGCCTTTGTGCGGCTCGAAAGCTTGAAAGTGGTAGACCAAATTGCTAAAGTTGCCTTCTCACAGATTCTTACATGAAGGTGTAATGTCCGCATGAAAGCTGTTTCTGTGAGTCAATTGAGGTATTTGGGGCTTTTGGGGCCTTTTGTCCAGGATGGGCTGGGTCTGGGTTCTCCAAGTGCTCACGTTACGTTCTGTTTGTAGTGCTCTTGTTGAAGGCAGTTTCATATGGCATGTGGGTGCGGATGCCTTTGGCGGGAACAAGTATGTTGCGTGCGGGTACAAAAGCCTCCAAGAAATCCTGGTTTATTGGGAGCTTGGTTGCCTTCATGGCTCAACCGTAGCTCAGACGCTTAACGCTGCTGTGAAGCAGGTTGCGTTCATGCCTTCATTTGCCGTTTGAGCTCTTTTGGAAAGGTTGTGAAGCTGATTGCGGCGCGTTTATGCTCCCGGCCTTGAGTTGAGGAAGCCTTCGACTGGACGTATAGCATAGCAGCCGTGATCACCTTCAAACTGGGCGAGCGGTGATGTAGTAATTTAAAGTACCTGACCATGCTGTTGCTCTTTGCGTGTGGAACCAATATCGCACCAACCTATTGTGGCTCAAGAACAAAGTCCGATACCGTATTTTGCATATCGGGGGCTCGTGAATCCCATGAGCCCGTGCCTGCCACAAATTTACACGTCACAAGTCACAACTGAAGAAAAACATGAATTGTCACGACTCAAACAAGACTTGATTTTCGCTTGCCACCTTGAGCCCTAAGTCTGGTGTCCACCACTCTCCAGCAGATGCCCTACAGACAAGGCAGGGCTGTTCGGTGCAGAAATGATTGACAACGACGCAACACATTGTCACATAGAGCAGGATGTGGTGAACAAGCTCGGTACTCTTGTGAAAGACAGATGCCCTCAAAACTCTTGCTATTTGTAGAGAGAGGGAGCACATATTTGGGTTTGCTGCCGGTTTAGTTGTTATTTGGCAAACTCTTTTGGCAAAACGGGTTGAAATTAGATGCTCAAATATTGCGGACTCCCATTGCTTCCCAATTGGCATTCAAGACCAGCGGGTCAATTCGGCCAGAAGTAACCGTGTCACAATTCCATCGCATTCTCCGCAAGCAGCCCCAGACATATGAGATCAAGAAGTCCAGAACCAGGTTCAAGTACAAAGAGGGTTGTCAATGTATTTATCACGAAAGCTAGCATGCTAGCTGAGTTCTTCTTTGCTTTAGCAATGTTGTGGTGGGAGGGGCTGCGTGCCTTAAAGATTGATATATCAAGCTAACCCCCCCCCCCTGAAAAGTAGAGCCTACCTGTACAGGGTTCCACTCCAACAGCCGATATAGTGTGTCCATACTTGACTGCTTCAAGGCTCAAAGAGCAAGAGGATAAGACTCTGCGCATAAAAGACACTAGCGGTCTGCACCTCTACCGTGTACGCCCTAGTCACTCTTTCAGTGGTAGCGGAGCAGTGATCCTGGAAGACCCAGGTGAGCTCCTTTCCTAGGCATAGAATTGCTTGTGGGCAAACAGCCATGGATTGGATAGACGACTGGGAAGAGCCTGATGCGGATGTGGCTTATGAGCCAGCAGCCTATGTGAATAGGCATGTGAGAAGAGAACCAGCAGCAATAGCAATGACAACACAGGTCACTACAAAGGTGCCCCCATCTTATGATGGAAAGACTTCATGGTTTTCCTATGAGGATGCCATAGACGATTGGTGTGATATCACCGAGCTGGAAGATGAGAAGAGTTGACCAGCATTGAGAAACAGATTAGAAGGAGAAGCAGCTGTATACAAGCGTGTTTTAGACAGAGATGCATTGAAGGCAAATGATCCACCAGGAGCCGGCGTAGAATATTTCAAACGAGTACTACGACCATATTTCGTGAAAGGATCAACCAATGTATTCCTGTATAGATTTATGCAATTCGTGCGCTTCAATCGAGGATCAGCTGACATGATGAAATGGATGACAAGATTCCAGATTTTACTCCAAAGGCTTATGAGCAGTTGGATGGACATGTTAGAACCAGTCACTCAAGCACATCCACAGGTCCTAGCTCAGATGCAGGCAGATGCAGCGTTGACTGGAGTAGCACCAACGGCAGAAAGGATTCAGGAAATCATGCAGACCATCAATGGCAATATGAGGACTTTTCATCAGAACGAATTTCCTCTAGGAGAAAATCTGATTGCCTTACTCACGCTGTCACTTGCAGATTTGTCTCAGGACCAGCGAAACACTTTGACTTCTTTGATGACTCATCGTGGCAGGGTCCTGCAGCAATACACCACAACAGAGTTGAGGACAGTATTCATTGAGATGTTCTGCACAACAAAGACTTCAGTAGACAATCCTTTGATGCAGCCGACAGGTGCTGGAGGTAGAAGATCATTTCTCGTACTAGACGAAGGAGAACTCGATGGTACATTTGGCTATTGGGCCGAAGATGAAGAAGATGGAACAGAAGGATTCCTAGATGCCCTGGACGATGTCTTTTGGGTATATGATGAACAGAATTTCTCTTGGTTCCA